GTCTGGTACACAGCTGAGAGTTAGAACTTGTTTTTCTGTCACACGTCCAAATCTCTCTCTCTCTCTCTCTCTCTCTCTCTCTCTCCTCTCTCTCTCTCCTCTCTCTCTCCTCTCTCTCTCTCTCTCTCTCTCTCCCGGCCTTGTTCAGTTTCTTTGCGTCAACGTTTTGAGAGACGGGCTCGAAGGAAACGTTGGTGCTTTCTTTGTTGGCTCCGATTAATGCTAAGCAAACAGTTTCGCCGGTGCGGAATGTGGCATGTAAAAATGGTTACCTCCAGTGTGGAACAATGGAAAATGCTACCTTCACCCGTTTTGTCTTTATTTGTTTTGACTGCAGCAGAACTTGCTCTTCCACTGTTTTGAATTTGGTGTTCTGGTGGGCGGGGTGATTTAAGGACGTTTCCAACTGCTCAACTTGTCCGTGAAAACTTGTGGGCGGGAGCAGTCGCACAGTGGGGAAGGCGCTTGCCGTGCACGTGGCTGACCAGGGTTCGGTTCCTCGGAGGCACCCCACAGGGTTCCCCAGAGCCCTGCCAGAAGTGGCCCTTGAGCACAGAGCCATCGGCAAGCCCTGGTTACTGCCCGGAGTGGGCCCCCAAATTGAAACGATGAAAACCAGTAAGCGAAAACGGCCAGAGTAGCCACGTCTCAGGGGCAGGAGGTCGCCCAGCCTTAAGGTGCCTGTGCTGGTTCTGGGGCGAGGGCGCCTCTTTGTGCCCCGGGAACTTGGCACAAGGTTAGCCACTGGGCGTTTGAAGCCTTGGAGCTTTGGCCCTTGTGCTCCTGTCAGTATTGGAATTTGGCATGGAGACTGCGAGGGCAGAGATGTGCAGTTCTCGCCCCTGATCCCCTTGTCCCTCAGGGTTTTTTTTTAAGTACTCAGTGAGCACCAGAACTGTGTCATGCATCGCAGAGCCTCAGTGTCCCTGGAGCCCTTCAAGCCAGGGAGAGGGTCGGAGCGAGTCAGGTTTCTTGCTGGCCGCCGGCGGGTTTGGGAACAGCTGCGCTGCAGCCTGGCAGCCCCTGTGGGAGCGGAGTCCTGGATTCCTGTCCCCATGCAGCTCCCAGACGCACAGAGCCCCACCGCCACCCCCACATACACCAGGCCCTGTGCCCCACCCCCCCAGCTCTGCCTTCCTCGGCATGTCCAGAAACCACTCTGCAAGTGGACTGCATGCCCGTCCCTCAGCTGCGCCATCCACAGATTGCTCCTCCATCTGGCAGCCCCACTGTGGGTGTCCTGCTCTGCTTTGACCTCTCCCTTCCCCCCCCCACTGCCACCCAGAGGCCCTCCAGTTCCCCCAGGGCCACCCTACTCCCCCATCATGCTGGTGTCCCCAGGGGCCGCCTCGCCCTCGCTGGGGGACACGGACCCAGACGCCCGGCAGCACAGGTGGCCGCAGCTTCTGGTCCTTCTGGTCAGTGCCTGGTGCCTGTGAAGATGGTGGTGGAGGCTTTTCCAGCCCGCCCAGGCCCTTCCCCTGCTGTCCCCTGCTCATCGGGTGGCCTGCATCTAGACAGTCACTTTTCTGTGGTCCTCAGCTCCACCTGAGGGAGTGGATACTCCTGTTGGCTTATAGGTCAGCGGCCGCAGGACCCCCGCCCCCACCCCCTCCCAGACAGGCCTGTCCCTTCCTCTCCTGGGAAGATCACCTGAGATGTGGATCGTGTCCTAGGCCATGGGTTTGCCCCGAGGGGGGGACAGCACAGTGGTCAGGACACACTTCTGTAGACTCCTGGAAACTGGGCACAGCCAGGAGCACCCTCTGGAGGTGACCCTAGCCAGGAGTGGGTGCAGGGAAGGTGCCTCCTGCCTCTCCTCCCCCTTCCCCCTCACTGCAAACCAGGAGCTCAGAAGTCTGGCGGGGGCTTGGAGAGTCAGGTCAGGGCCAGGTGGCTGGCCTGTGACCACGCCCTGTGGGTCTTCACCTTCAGGCCCAACTTGGGTGTCCTGGTAGAATCCAGTCCTGGCCTTCCAGGACTGGATTCCGGTCGGGTCCAGTGGCCAATGAAATACCCGCAAATGCTTGCTCTGCAGTGCAGTAGGCCCAAGTTGGTAAGTGGGGGCTGGGGGAATCTGCCATCCACCAGCCGGGCCAGCAGGCCACGCCTGGGCCTCTCCTGGGGCTGCTGTCTTGGCCTGATCATCGTTGCCTCCAGTTGCTTTTCTCTTCCCCCGGGGGGCTGGGGGGTGCGCGGGGGAAGCGGGCAGCCGCCTGGTCCTGATATTTCACAGCAGCGGCAGCGCCTGCATCCCGACTTCCTCTCCCGTGTAGAAAGGTTGATTTGTAGCCGCTGTCGCTCTCTTCCTAATAGCCCTTGTGGGTGGTGAAGATCTCAGGAGTGAGCCATTAAAAATGAACGAGGAGGACTAAAGTAGTGTGTCTGAGGTGGGGGAGGTTTAACAAAAGGCATTGATGTTTTAAATGCACAGAAATGCCATCCATCAATAATAAATGGGGTGGCATAGCCCAGATGTGCCAAATTGAATTATTACAGCCTATGGATCAGATCCTGGGGGCGGGGTGGGGGGAGGGGGGTACGGCTGGTGTTCTTGAATTATCTGTTTGAGAGCTTTAGAGCCGTTTGGAGGATCCCTGTTGTTCACACTCATAGAGCCGCTAACTGGAAATAGAAAATTTTGGAATTTCCCAGAGTTCTGATGTACATTTTCAGTGGTGTTGTGGGTTTGTTTATTTGTTTGTATAGTCAGAGTTACTAAAAGTGAACAAACTGTTGTTAAATCTTTTCAGAGTTACTGAAAGTGAATAAGCTTGTTTGTGTCTTTTTTTTTTAAGACAAAGGCAGAGTCTGAAATATGTTTCAGCTTCTATGGGGCTTAGTGCTCACTGTTTAAGAGTCGGCACCATCTTTGATCTGAGGGCTGAAATGTCACTGCAAATGCTTGAGTGTTTCCACATTCAGATGGAGTCTGTGTCCCCGTCAGTGCATCTGCAATGGACCACTTAGGAAAGGTGTCTTCTGCTCTGAGAGGGATGCCACCTCCTCCTTCTCCTCTTCCTCTTCCTCCTCTTCCTCCTCCTCTTCCCTGCGTCTTCATTCATTCGCTTTAGTGCTCCCCAAGAAACCAGACCAAAGTTTACTGGGTAAACTGTACTTGGGGAGGTGTCGGTGCCAACAGCGCAGGGCAGGCTTGAGTTTGATGTGATGCTGTAGAGATGCGGGAAGCTGGGGGTCCTGGCAGAGCAGTCATGCTGGTGGGGCGGGGGGACGGCGGTGTTTAAACTGAGCCCCGCTTTGGACTTGCGCCTTACAAAACCAACCATGGCTTGTTGGTCGCTCAGACAGGTGGAACCGTCCGTCCCCCACCCCCACCCCAGGACCCGACCCTAATACCCATCCTGGCTTCTTTGGGCGCTTACCTGCGATTGGATCACTCTGTGATCATCGAAAGCACTTCCTCGACATTTCTCCCTATGGTGACTGAAAAAGAACTTGGCTGCTTGCAGATGATGCCAAGCTGGTGTCTGTGCGGGGTTTGCTGACAGTTTGTTTTATCTTTGAGTGTGAATGTTTGCGTTGACGGTGAGGGTAGTGAGGAGCTGGCAAGTCTTTATCTGATTTTTGTCCCTGTTATCAGCTTACACTGGCCACCTTCGGTGCGGAATTTATTTAACTGCATTTTGGTGCCTCCCAGGGATTCTCACTTGCCTTGGAAAACCACTTGTCCAACTGACTTAAGAGCCTGTGATGTCTTTAGGTGTCTGGCTGCAGACCCCCACAGACTCCGCAAGGCCCCGTGGTTGGGTACACAGCAAATTTCCTGAAATCATCTCTGCTCCACCTCCTCGGGGTCGCTGGTGTTGAAATGTGAGATGGTCGGAGCGAAATGAAGTAGTGGCCGCTCACTGGGGTAATTAGGAAGGGAGCAACCAGGCCAGGCGTTTTCCCGCAGCCCGTTGTCTGGCTTCAGCAGCAGCTGCACACAGCGGATCTGAGTTTAACCAGTGGCCAGTGGCTGGGGCGGATCCGGCTTAGGAAGTGGCTGGAAAATTCCAGGCAAGTCCCACCAGTGGGAACATGTGGACTTGAATGGTGAGCACAGGCTGGCGGTGGCGAACAAGGGTCTGTTGTTCTGATTAGCCTGCAGGGCTGTGAGCCGCCCCCCCTCCCCAGAGGCCAATGCCGCCAGACCCTGGCCTGTCCACTGGCCCCTTGAGTCCAGTCACCTGACGCCTTGGGGGGTGGGGCCGGGGAGGGGGTGTTTGTTTTTGCTTCTTGGAGAATAAACGAGCTGTGGCTCAGTTACTTACCCAGGGTGACTCAGATGTCACAGTGTGCAACGCCCCCCGCCCCCCAGTCCGTAGGGGGCTGTTCGCCTACCTCATGTGAACCAGAGACCTCTCTGCCTCTTGGGGGGGAGGGGTCCTTCCTTTCCTGTCTGAGATGCTTCTTTGTGACCGTGACATAGCCAGCGGCTTCCCTCTCCAGTCTTGGATGCGCCGGGTGTCCGACAGCCGTGGGTGTGAGCCAGGGCGCCACTGGGCACTGCAGGGGCCTCACCACAATCCCAAGGGGTTGCGCCTGCGGGTACCTGGGGCCACATGTGGGCCGCCTCCGGGGCTGACAGGTGAGCGCCTCTGGGACGGTTGGCTTCAGAGATGTGGGGGCTCTTCTGGAGCACAGGAATTACCAGAACGCCCCACCCCCCCATCCCTTGGCAGCCTTCAGGGCCCCCACACGTAGGAAGGAGCAGCTGGGAGGTCTGCGGGAGGGGGTGGGGGGGGGAGGAGGGGGACACGTCTGGCCTTCCGTTCCATGGCAAACCCTTCCTGGAAGTCGCCAGGTAAGTGCTTGTGCCACCGAAGGGAACGCGTGTCTCAGCCGGTGCGTGCGCAGGGAGGAGCCGGGAGGGCGGTGACCGAGCAGAAGGGCCCCGGCGCCTGGCGCGCACGGGGGGCCCGGCCTTGGGGAAGGCGCGGGGGGCCGTCGGTCACGGCCCCCGCGCCCGCTGCTCACCTGTGGCCTTCCCTCCGCAGGTGACCGTCATCTTCAAGGCGCACGGCGCGTGCACGGAGCAGAAGGTGTACCAGGCCGTGACGGACGACGTGCCCGCCGCCTTCGTGGACGGCAGCGCGGGCGGCGCCAGCGTGCGCGTGGAGGCGCGGGAGGGCGGGCGCGTGGCCCTGCACGCGCGCCACCTGGCCAGCACCGTGCTGGTGCGCCAGCTGGGCCGCTACCTGACGCTGGCCGTGCGCATGCCCGCCGCGCTGGCGCTGGCCCACGACGACGGCCACGACCTGCAGCTGTGCGTGAGCGGCTGCCCGGCCGCCGAGCGCATCGCCGACGGCCCCGGCCCGGCCGGCCTGGCGCCGGGCCCCGCGGGCTTCACGCTGCAGAGCGCCCGCGCGCGCTGCGGGGACACCATGCCCCAGCGGGACATCTACTTCCAGTCGTGCGTCTTCGACCTGCTCACCACCGGCGACACCAACTTCTCGGCCGCCGCGCTCAGCGCCCTGGCCGACGTGCGCGCGCTGCACCCGCGCCGCGAGCGCTGGCACCTGCCACCGCGCAGCGGCCACGCCGCGCCCCCGCAGGCGCGGGTGGGCGCGGGGCTGCTGGGCGCCCTCCTGGCCCTGGCCCTGGCCCTGGCCCTGTAGGGCCGAGCCCCTTGGAACTTGCCCCGAGGGATCGCGCCCGGGGTCGCGGTGCTGAGCGCATCCCCAGGAGCGCCCTGGAGCCGGAGCCGCGGCGCGGGGACGCTCCCCTCCCCAGCCCCCACTCCGCCCTCTCCTGTGACTCCACCCGTTCTGTTTGGCCGTGTCGTGAGATGTTTTATAATGTCCCCGCCCCGGGACCTGTTAGAAAGCACTTTATTTTTTATATATTAAATATTTATGTGTGTACCTGGTTAGTATATATACCATGCCTAGACGCTGCCCTGGAGCGGTCCGCCCCCAGGGTCGCCGCTGGGACCCCTTCCTGCCCCCTCCCGCCCCTTCGGGCCTCCCCTTGCTCCCTTTCTGCCCGTTCTGCACTGGAATGACGCGCTGACCCCCGAGCAGGGGGGTGCGGGGCGCAGCTCTGGTTGATGACCAGCGGATATTCGGCCAACCCAGCCAAACTGCTGTTTCTCCGAGCCCAGAGGAGGCCAGTGCGGGCACCTGTGCCACCAATGCCCAGCATCTCGCAGGACCCCGAGCAGAGCTCTCCTTTTTGAACAAAGCGTACGCTTGCCCCGTCCGGCTTTGCCCTGAGCAAACGGTCTTGTAATCCTACCTTGCCCTTTTCTCTGAGCTGTCCAGGTGGCCCCTTGGCAGCCCTCTGGGCCCGACTGCTGAGCTGGGTTTTGGGTTCCCAGGCTTGGGTGCGTCACTGGCTCCACCATCTGGCCAGTGCTGTTTCGGCCGTGTCTGCACTGAGACCCAGGGTGGCCGGGGCAGAGTCACACACTCTGGATAAATAAGCCAAGCTGCCTGAGGGGGTCATATAGCCCGCTTGGACGTGCCCAGGTGGAATATCCTTAGGATCAAATATCTTCCTGCCGCTTCCGTCCTGCCGGCCTTCCCTCATGCCAGGAGAGCACGGCCAGCAGAAGGGAAAGAGAATCATCGGGAAGGCTGATAATTAGAGAGTAGGTTCCACTCCTCCTGCTCAGTGCAAACTGAAGGCAGTGACCTGAGAGGTAACATCCTAGAGCGAAGGTCTGGATTCCTTGGGAACAAAGGGGTGAGCTTAAGATCATACTTGGTACCAGCCAGGTCACTTGTTTTCCTTAAGCCCTGTCTCTTTGGTTGGTGGCCCTGCCCTGCTGGGGACCCAGGCTGAGATTCTGTGATGCACACCTCACAGAGCTGGGAAGCTCTCGCAGAGAGACACCCCCTGTCCAGCGGAGGGGAGAAAAAACAGTATCCTGTCTCTGAATCAAGACTGCCCAGAATGGTGCCCGAACCCATGACTTTACAGGGGTAGGAAGGACTAGGCTGCCTCGGTTCACCTCTGGGGGCCTCGTGCCAGGCTCCGTAGCTGTGATGAGCTGGGAGTTTTCTTTTATAAATTGAATAGAACAAAGAAGGGAAAATAGGATGTTTCTAACCACTATTTTTGTGCAAATGGTATTCAAGGTGAAGTAAGAAGCAAGTAGGAATGTCTGCAGAATCTGATTGTTGAGTTGTTTTATATGACAAATGCCTTTTCCCTGTCCAAGTAGGCAAATTTCTCTCCTTACTAATTGGGAGAAGACAATGGGCTCTGTTTGCCCCTGTCTTTTAGTTAGAGAGGGTGCACAGTCATTGTTCCAGTGCACTAGGACTAGTCCCCGTGTCTCCCCAACACCCTCAGTAGCCCTGTACCTGACATCCCCCCTGGGTCACTTTCCAAAATGCAGGTATTTCAGTAAAGAACAGATTTGGTATTTCTCCTGTTTATTTTCTAGGATTTTATAGAGAAACTACTTCTTGGTTCTCAAAAAATCCTCAGAAGCGTTTGGGGTCACACCCACACATGGGCAGCTGCTCTGCAGTCTCCCAGAGGAACTCGGAGGGAAACACTGGTTTTCACAGATGCTCCACATGGCTGGCTGGCTTTAAAAGACTCAGTATTTTTTTGGTCCTATTCTTATGCTTGGAACCCCACCCCCAGTGTCGTCGAGTCTTTGCAAAGAAACCTTTAGATGTGGTTCATAGGTATATGAATAAGTATCTGTGTAAAACAGTGAGTGTGCAGTGTGTAAATACTTTAAATTATTATGCTAGAAAAATAAAGTGACATGCCATGCTGTGGAATGTTTGTCCTGTGGTTATACTGACACCTGCTGGGAGAAGATGAGAGACACACATGAGGCGGAAATGGGGAGTGGGGGTGTGGATAGCAACCATCCTCATCACTAACCTACCCACAAATTTCAGAAGTGTGGAGCTTCTCTCCGTGAATTTGAAGCTGTTGTGAATCAGCCAGGCTGTGTGTGGCTGGTGCGCCGCCGTCTTCCCGGGAGGGTATCTCCAGTAACGGGTGGACACACAGATCTGGGACATGCACTTGGCGATGGGCACTTGATCATTGTATAACTGAAACCCAAGCACAAAATTTGTAAGCCTATAACTGTACCTCATGGTGTTTCACTAAAAAAAAAAAAAAAGGTAGCACGGACCATTGGCAAAGTGTCTGTTCCCTGCGTGGTAACTTCTGGGGAGCAAGATTTTCCAGGTCTGGAGGCCTTCAGGGTGTCCTAAAATAGGACAGCACAGGATCACACCCGATCTTCTTTGAAGAAATAATGCTCAGACGAGACCAATTAGCATCCCTGTCTTTGTGGAATTGCCTGTAGAAAGTGGAGGAAGGAAAGAGGTCCTTCGCGGTGGCTGACTGAGTTGGTGACAATCATTGAGCCAAGTCCTCTTTGCTCTTGCTGTTTTTCTCAGGTGAGAAAGTGTTGGTAGAAATTGCACACGGGCAACTCAGTAAAAAAAACATGGAAGAAAATTCATGAAAAGGATTTGACAGGACTTGGAAAGAGAATAACAGGAGACATTATGGGTAAAACAGCCATGGAGAAAATTGTTACACAGCTAATAAGTAAAGACATGAGAATTTAGGCAGCATTGCAGTATTTAGGAAGAAAAGCAGAGGATATGATCTCAATTAGAATTCTCCAGAGGAACATGTGGAACACGTATGTTATGTTATATTCACTATCTCTATCATCCCGTTGTTCATCGATTCACTTGAGCGGGCCCAGTAACGTCTCCATTCGTCCCTGTCACGTGCTAGTGTAGCCCGATGACATATAGGGGGCTCCTTCAGGATCAGGGGAATGAGGACCATTCATTGTTAGTGTTTTTGACGTATTGAGTACTCCATGGTTAGCTTGTCAGGCTAACCGTGCGGGCAGGATACTCTTAGTAGCTTGCTGGGCTCTCCGAGGGGGATGGAAGCTTTTGGGGCAACCTCTAATCACCTTTACAGGTGTTCCTAGTCAGGCATATAGGCAGGTATGATACTTTCAGTAGCCTGCCGGGTCCTCTGAGAGTGAAAATTAGAGAACAAGAGGTCGCTTCCGGGAGCTTGGTTTTAGAGTCTCTGGATCCTGGACGGTGAAGGGGTTACACGGCAGTTGGCGGGTGTAACTGTCTAGCTACTGGAAGGTGGGGGATCTGGGTGGAGGAGGCCCAGTCCCGAACCGAGCAGGCTTGGAGATCTCAGCCCCAGGTCCCGCACACCTGGGTTCCTCTGCCAGTTCCTCGTCCAAGCGTGTGGAGAGTGGTGCTGGTGAGGTGCTGTGCAGGTGCTCATAGGGGACTTTTCCCCATCCTGATTCAACCGGCGTTGCCCCTTTCCTGCAGTCTCCCTCCCTGGAGCCTCTATCAGCATTAGTAAATCTTGGATGACCTCATTGCTAAGCGTTGCCTGTAGAGCACCGATGCTGGGGACAGAGGCTACATGTGACAGGAATATGAGAAAGCATCTATGGAATTGGATGATGAAATTCCTGTAGGAACTTTTTTAAATCACCTTATTTTAAGCTTCTTTTAAATCTTCAGTTATCTTATGTAACACCACACACACACACACACACACACACACGAACACACACACGCACGCACACACACACACACGGAGTGTGGTCCAGAGGCTGAACAGACCTAGCCTGCAGATCATTTTTGTGGTTTTTTTTTATTTATTTTTATAAAGTTGTTCACAATAATATATTACGAGAGTATTTGATATGCCAGACACAGTAACAACAAAGTCTCCAATGGAGACGTTACTGGGCCCGCTCGAGCAAATCGACGATCAACGGGAGGGCCTTTACCTTTTACCTTTACCAATATTTCAACACCAATCCCACCACCATTACACCTTCCCATCACCATTATTCCGAATTCTCCTTTTGGGTCATAATCAAGGCTGCTCAAGACTTTCTCCTGGCCCTGTGCTCAGGAATCACTCCTGGCGATACTCAGGGGATTGACACCCAAGCCTGCCCCAAAGGCAGAACTTAAGTAATTCATTTTGTACCTCTTGTAATCCACTAGAAATTATCCACAAAGCTTTGCTTAGAGAAAATCGTGTGAAAATTGTTGTATCTCACCCTGGAGCCATTAAGCCAGATTGTCACAGTTGAGTCTTGTATGCTTATATATATTTGAAATAGATTCCCTTCTACATTACACCCCATCAAATGTGGTGTGCTCCTCTTAGTACATCAGGGGAGCAGAGAATGCGATGTCGCTGCAGGAATTCTAAAATTTTAAATAGAGTGATAGAGTTGGAGGTAAATCTTTAACTTGATGGTGATCTTGAGGTCTGGAGGCATCTCTGCAGTGTGCTGTTCTCTTCCAAGATTTATTTCTGAGTGTCTGCATCATGGCCATTAATGTGCTCAGGTGCCGCCCAGAGACAGTTCTTGGGCGTGATTGCCAGTCTCTGAAAGCACAGGGAGATGGAAGGAGCCCATTCCCAACTCCGTGCGAGCCTGGAGGTTTCAGTCACAAAACGCCACGTATCTAGGCTTTACAGCGGATTCATTCTCACGCTTGAGGGCCTCATCCTGAGCCTATGAAGTCAGCCATGAGCATGGCGGCGATTGGGTTCTGGAGCTTGTGGCTGCCGGGGTTCTGTTGGGGCAGGCGGAAGGACTCATTTGCCCTCCTCCAAGGTT